ACACACACACACACACACACACACACACACACGTACACACGCATACACGCACAGACACACACAGGCACACAGACACACAGCTTTTCAACAAATACAGTTATCGCGAAGAAGAAACAAGAGAGCAATCAATTGTATACTTGTTGAACCGGGGAACCCAGCATCGCGTCTTTAATAGTTGATACCGCGACTCATTCCACCGCTTTATACAACTGCAGGAAGTTTCTCTCGGCAATACAACACCGTTAACTTCTACGGAGAACGAACGCCTGTTTCGCGGAGGAGACGCTCGTTTGTGTTTCTGTAGCAGCAAAGGATCGGTGTGCGAAGTTACTCAAGTCGACCACGTGGTTATGAGTGTGCATCGACCACGCCGAGAGTTTCCGATACGTATCGAAGAACGTTTCGGAAGGGCGTTTGTTTCTTGTGCGACGTTTTAAGACGTTCGACCAAGTGCGTTGTCAAAATCAACACGTTCGCAAGACTGATTATAGTGATTCGTAGAATTATTAACCACTGTTCATCGATTTCTAACCTCGTCAGTGAGAAGCGTGTGTCGACGAGGTTCGACGGTTCGTGCGAACACATTTGTACAACCGGGTAATTTGCTAGACAGCCGCGTTTAACGTTTCGGTGACCACAGCTGTCTTACGATCTAATAAATAAATCGGATAAGTGAGAAAGTGAAGAAAAAGAAAAAGAAAAAGAAAAAAAATAGTCAGAGTCGAAGTGAAGCGGCCGAAGATTTTCACGAGTGATCAGACGACGAAGCGAGCTCTGTCGAGTGTCTCGAATATCAAACGATAATTGAAAAACCTTGGCGGAGGTTGGTTCGCCCGGGGAAGCTGCAAAGTAGCAAGATCCCGCCCGCAGGAGATCGTGAACTGAAAGAGGCCCAGGTGGAAGTGGTTCAGTCCGGGTCAACGATCGGCGTCGTCAATAGGCCGTATCAGACCCCTCAGCAAGGAGGGTGGGTGCAGTGGTGCTGTGGTTGCAGAAGAGCCAGCGAGGTTGGGGTGGCCTCGTCTACAGGCGCCTTGGCACCGAGTGCACCGGGCCCCGGGGCTGCGGTGGTGGGCTGCTTGGTTGGGGTGTACCCGTGTTCTCCCTCCTCCACGGGGCCCAGGGGCCCCCTAACTCATCACTTCCAGGCTCTCCCGAATCAGCAACAACCGATCGGTTGCCGTGCCTGTTGCTGCGTGCATAACAATCACCAGCCAGCTTCGGTCCAGCTTACCAGTCAGCGGGGCGGCCTATCGCTGAGGGTAGCGAGGGTGGCGTCCACCACCTCCGTCCGAGCCGCCCCCTACGCCCATCCCCAGCACCAGGGGCTGGGGCAGGAGTGCAGGTAATAATAAATTACTAAACATACATTATAGCTTCACTTCGACACGTATATAGTACTCTACTACTACTACCACCACCACCACTACTACTACTACTACTACTAATACTAATACTACTACTACTACTACTACTACTATTACTACTAATACTACTGCTACTACTACTACTACTACTACTACTATTACTACTACTACTACTATTACCACAACTACTACAAATAGTAACCACTACCATTACTACTTCTACCTGTACTACTACCGCTACATCTGCTTCTACTTTGCTCGTCGTCGTGGTCGGCAGTGTTTGATTAAAAAAAAAAAAAAAAGTAATGATAATAATAGCGATAGAGAAAGCTAAAAAAAGATAGAGAAAAAGTACAATACAATAAGAGCAATAACGTAGTAGCACGTCGAAGTAACAAACACGGTTGATGGAGTAAAAGAGTTATCCAAAACCAAAAACGCACGAAAAAGGTGTAGGGAGGAGACGGGGGCATTGGGTGGAGGTGGTGCGCACATCCTCGGCAGCCCGATGCTGTTCGTCCCGTTCACGGTGCCCACCTTCCCCGCGACGCATCATCAGACGACCCATCCTGCGCATCAGACGCATCATCAACAGCTGCAGGCCACTACCCAGAATCCGGTGCAGCAGCCGCAACAACTCACGCAGCTCAATCAGCTGAGCCACCTGAATCACCAAGGCATTGTACCGGCGACAACCAACCAGCCAACCATACACAGCACCAGCTGTTCACCGCAGCAACAAGCAACCACACCGAATAAGGTAAAAAAAAAAAACAAAAAAAACAAACAAAAACAACAATGTTACATCACATTTTTCCATGCGCTTTTATATTGGACGCGCCGATTCGATTCGTTCCAATGACGTGGAAAAGAAACACGTGCTTCTTGGCTTATCTTGAGGCTACCATATCAACGTGTCCGTCAGATTTGTAGGTCACTTGTTCATTTCAGCAACGACAGAATTATGCGTACGTTAAAGATATTTATTCTCATGGTTTCTTGCGTCACGCGGATATACTCTGGTTAATCCTTCGATACTTTCACGCCGAATTGACCGTTTCAATTTTCTGCTGCAATTGATATTATGGAACAGCATCCGGAACAGTGTAGTTAATATTTTCAAATTACCAGATGATATAATTTCATCGGTTTACATTAACAAATTAAAAACTCAATTAAATTCAGGCTGAACATTATACTCGTGACTGTACGATACAGCACAATATACACAGTATATAAAAAACTATGAACTAAATACTATGAAAATGCTTTCTATAAACGAGGAAAGAAACCTTTCGTTGGTCTGATCACTACGTTTCATCAGAAGTTAATTATGATTACACGAACACTATTAATTTAGACAAGTAACAGAGAGTTCAATTATGTTCAATATTCTCTCTCACCAAAAAAAAAAAAAAAAAAGGAAATTGTTTCCTGTTTCACGAAGAAGGAATCCATTTATTGCTTTCTCGTTTCTCTACGTTGATCTGACCATTACACTATATCACAGGTTAATTACGGTTTATGAACTGTTTCGATTTTACATTCGTCAAAAGCTACTTACCATTAGTGGCAGTTTTAATTACGGCGATATGCAGAAAAGAAAGAAAAAAAAAAAA